GCTCTTGGTATGCTGTAGGCACTTTGGAAAGATTTTGTTAGCTGAGTTCTGGAGTTCCGGTGGCTAGGAATGGAAAGTGTAACCTTGCCAGGCTGAAAAACAGGTGTCTTTCTCAGGGGTCTTTTTAGTTAAAAGGCAGTAGAGGCTGGACCTCTTGGTGTCTATGGTAAGCCTGCCTCTCCCCTTGGGTAAGTGATAGCCTGGAAAGGTAGGTATCTTCCAGGCTTTAATGTTCCTCTTAGGGGATTGGGGTTATTTCTTGAGTGCCTTCTATGTGCCAAGCATTGTGCTGGGATAACAAAGCCTGCCTTCTCAACCTCCTCAAAAGCTGCAAACACTGAATGAGATGGAGCACTTTGAAAAATCTGCACTGCTGCCTGCTGCTGACAGGGCACCTGCGGAGCTTGCCACCTCCCTGCACATCCCACCTGGAGGCCTCGAGCTGTTTTCCTTGACCCCTCCCTGCACATACATCTCTTTCTGCTCCTGGCCAGCTTGGCTTTACTTGAGTTGGAATCAGTGGCTTCCTGAGGCTTCTCCACGTGCAGCCTATTTCTGGACCAGGGTTTGTTTGAGACCCTGTTTGGATATTGTTAAAAGTGGCAGCTTTGCTCAGAAAGGTCAGCGTGAGAGACCAGAACAAAGGGATCTTTCAAGCTGGCCTCTCACGAGGCTCAGAAAAGCCCCAGCTCCACCTGGTGCAGGCAGCTTTAGACTTTGGGGGCAGGATTGCTCAGGCTGGTGGGAGAAACTCCCTGGCTGGTTTCCAGAGGGGTGAGCTGAGGGGCATTCCCAGCACCTCAGAACAGATCAGCCTGAGAGCCAGAATCCCTGTGCAGCCCTGGTCACTGGAATCAGTGTGTTGGTTTTTCTCTATGTGCATTTAATAAAATTTGAGATTTCTCCAAAAGATGCTTGAGGGTGATTATTTCCTTAGCTAAAGAATTCCTGGGAGCTTATTTTGATACCAAAATTCCTTATAGATTTGAAAATGGTAAAAATGCGTGATCTTTAAAAATAAAGGATCTTGTTGAAATGCAGCTCCAGTTTCTTAATTGTGTGTGTGTTGGGAGAAGTAGGGCCTTTGAGGGTCTGCATTTCTCTCAAGCCCCCAGGTAATGCCGGTGCTGCAGGCCTGAGAGCACTCTTCAGTGCTGATGATGTAGGGACTAAAGGCCAAGAAAGGACAGTCCTTGCCCTGGAGTGGGAAGAGGGGGGCCTCAGTTTCTTTTGGCTCTGGCCTCCTGGTAGCAGCCTGGACCATGCTGCCAGGGAGGAGGTTGGCAGGTAGCCCACAGAGTGGAAAATCACCCACAGGTCCCAGGATCCAGCCCCAACTCAGCCTATGGCCATTTGGCCAGGGAAGAGCTCTCCAGCAGACTTGAGTTCCCAGAGCCAGCCATTTCCTCTCTTCTGGGAGCTCATGCAGTCTGTGTCTGTTTTTTCTCTCCTGGTGGTAGCCTGCTGTCCAGCTCTGGTTCTTTCCTAAGGCAGAGGTCTCAGTGGCACCGAAGGCCTCTGTTGCAGATTCTTCCTATTGGACTCGTGGGGGCTCCCAGCCTGTCTCTGGGTGTGGTTTGTCAACTAGGGAATTCTGTTCTTAAGTCCCCTGTGGGGGTGGGGAATGGTGGAGTAAGTAAGATGGACACAAAGCTGGAGGATCTCAGGCAAACTTGTTTCCTCCCCCTACTCATCAGCTCCCAAACATCCATGCAAAACAATGTGGCAAATTAAGTTAAAGTACTAAGATCTTTAAGACCCAAATTACAAGGGGGAAGGAAAATAACTAATATTTAGTGACCCTCTACCACATGCCTGGGTGTGCTTGGGGCTTCTCATGCATCATCTTCCAGACAGCACTATGAGCAAGTGAAGAATCTCCCTCGATGGGGAGACTAGGACTCAGAGAGGCTGTCTTCCTTCCCAAGATTACAGATTTAGGATCTGGCTTGAAAGCTGATTTTTTGCATCTGGTTGTGCTTTCTGGAACCTGGCTTTGTAGCATAGGAGAACTGGAAGACACTGGGGATCATCTAAACCAATGGTTCTCAAACTTGAGTGTCCATTGGAACCCTCTGGAGATTTGATAAAACCCAAATTGCTGGGCTGGAGTCGAGGGGAGGGATGTGTCTCAGAATTCGATTTTCTAATAAGTTTCTAGGATGCTGATGCTGCTGGTTCAGGGACCACACTTTGAGAACCTATGGTCTAACTTTTTGTTTCTCGAAGTATGGGATGAATGACTCTAGCAATACACAAGGTGGTTTTAAGTGATACACAAAATTTTTAAAAGTACTTCTGTATTTCTGTTTGTTAGCCAAAAAAGAACTAGCACACCAAATCCATGATTTTGGGTATTTTTGATTAAGATATGATATCTACTGAAGTAAAAAAGAAGATATAAAGAAAAGTGTTACATGAATAATAACTCTGATGGTATGTAGCTCGTAGCAAAAATTGTAAATGTTGTATGCAGATAACACAAGTCTGGGAGATGCTGATCCAAACTAAAGGCCTGACTTTGTAGAGGAGGAGACCATGCACAGCCCACCAAGGTGACTGTGCATCCCTGGGCCACTTGGCCACCAGTAGCAGTGTCCATACTTGAACTGTTTCTAAGGACGCTGTGGTGCCCTGTCCTGCTTTCCCCCCCTTGTTCTTCAGAAGTAGTGAGTAGGCTAGAGAAGGTCACTGTGAGTCAGACTCCATCCCACAGGTCTTTGTCTCTATTCTCTTTGTCTCTATTCCTAACCTTACAAACAAGGGTCTGTGTTTATAATGTTGGTAGTTTTTGTATTTGGAACTTGTTTAAGTGAAACCAGAGGCCCCCGAAGGCAGGGAGGGACTTGATCTACAAACCTGTCCTTTTATGGCTCCAGGCCTCGAAGCCCCCTGGAATCTGGTCCATGCTTAAAGATTGCAGGAGGAGCCAATGTGGTTTTCTTGACTGCCCCCTTTGGCTTTTCACCCTCTGTGATCTTTTCTCTTTTCTTTTCTTTTCCTCACCCGAGGATATTTTTTCCATTGCTTTCCAGATAGAGTGGAAGGGAGAGAGAGATAAAGAGAGACATCTACGTGAGAGAGACACATCGATTGGTTGGTTGCCTCCCGCACACTCCCAGACTGGGGCTGCAACGGAGGTATGTGCACTTGGCCGGAATCGAACCTGAGACCCTTCAGTGTGCAGACCGACACTCTAACACTGAACCGGATCAGCTAGTGTTGATCTTTTTTTAAAAAATATATCTTTATTGATTCCAGAGAGAGGAAGGGAGAGGGAGAGAGAGAGAGAGAAACATCAATGATGAGAGAGTAATTGATTGGTTGCCTCCTGCATGCCCCCAACTGGGGATCAAGCCCACAACCCGGGCATGTGCCCTGACCCGGAATCGAACCAACATCTCCTGGATCCTAGGTCGATGCTCAACCACTGAGCCATGCTCAGCAGGGCTGATCTTTATTTGCTGGCCTATCAGCCTCTGCTTTCCCTGTGTGCTGTGATCCAGGGAATCCCTTGAACAAATGAGAAGAGTAGTCCTCAGACTTTGGTTGAGCACTTGCTGTGGGCCAGGGACTGTGCTAAGGCTGAGCTTCTGGAACAAGACAGGAGTCCTCAGGGCATGAGAGATCAGCCTGTAAACAGAAAATGACCGAAAAATGGCATGCTTGCTTCTGAAAAGGAATCAACAGGGTGCAAGTGTCACAGCATGGCTAGGGACCTGGGAAGGCTGCAAGAAGGAAGTGATACTGGAAAGCGTTTTGTTTTTGTTTTTTTTAAATATATCTTCATTGATTTCAGAGAGAGGAAGGGGGAGAGAGAGAGAGAGAGAGAGAGAGAGAAACATCAATAAAGAGAGAGTCATTGATCAGCTGCCTCCTGCACACCCCAGATTGGGGATCGAGCCCGCAACCCGGACACATGCCCCAACGGGGGGGAATTGAACTGTGATCTCCTGGATCCTAGGTCGATGCTCAACTGCTGAGCCACGCCCGGCTGGGCTAGAAAGGGTTTTTTAAGGATAAATACAGGAAAAGCTGTGTAAGGTAGTGTGAGGAGCCTGTGACATAGGGAACTGGGTGGTCATGCAGAAAGGACTTGAGTGGTGGGAGATGAGATGGGAAGAGAGAGGCAAGAGGCAGACCCAACAGCTGAAGGTCTAAACTGGACTCTAAGCACTGAGGGTGCCAACAAAGGAGCCAACCTGGGGAGGAATAAGATGACTTGTGCATGTCAAGTAGACCCCTTGAGGGACGGTGGGAAGCAGTTTTTTAAACTGCAGGCCACAACCCATTAGTGGGTTGCAAGATCTATTTAGTGGGCCTCGGCCAACATTTTTTGAAAAGGGGAGTAAGAGGAGACATAAAATAGAAATATCAGAGTGGATTACATGTCGTAGAGGTAGGTAATGTCAAGAAACTTGGTTCAATTGTATGTAAGGGAAGTGTGTATATATCCAGGGTTGTAAACTCAAATGTATTTTTTACTATGAGTCACACTTTAAAAAGCTTGAAGATTATTTTAAGGAACAGGGTTGACTGGAAGGGGTGAGGCTGGCCAGGTTGGTTATGCAGGCCCGGGGTGATGCAGGCCAGTCTGGGCCCTGGTGGAAGGGACTAAGGTGAGGATGGGTTCTAGTGTTGGCCAGATGCAGAGAGTAAAGGTAGAGGAGTTGAGACCAACTCAAGTCAGAAAGTCTGACACCAGCCCAAGGCTCTTGGACCAAAATAACATCTTGTTTGAAACACTTGACCTCGGTCCCCTTCTGGGTGCAAAATGCAAGGCTGAGTTTCGGGGGTTCTGGAGAGAAGGATCCCCCTGTTCTTTGATGGGTGATGTCCTGGCCCTCTAGGGTCTTGGTGTTACAACTCTGACCTTCCGTTCCAATTACTGAATGTTTTCAAATAAAACTCAGTCTGGTTCCTAGTGTTTACAGGCTTGATGAGGTGTCCTTGGGGGAACTAGGCTGGTACTGACCCTGCTCTGCTGTCTTCCCAACTAGGAATGTCGTGAAAGGCATGAGAGAGCTCCGGGAGGTCCTACGAACTGTGGAGACCAAAGCAACCCAGAACTTCAAAGTGGTAACATGGAGGAGGCCCCAGGGCTGGGTGCTGGGTGCTGGCTGTAGCCAGTTTACTCAGGGGTCAAGTTCACTGGGAGACAGCGGAAGTCCTAGTGGCAGCCCCTGAGTCAGGGATGGCAATATGTCACGTGCATACTTCTACTCTCCCCATTTGTGCTCATGGCACACATTGTAAATCAGCCTCAGCACTTTCCTGCTAAGCCTAGGAAGCACCCTCAGCAGCCTTTTCATCACAGCTCTGCAGATGGCCCCTAGCCTCAGATCAGAGTTGAAGCCTATGGCCAGCATACCCTAGAAAGGTGGTGTGCTAATTCTTAGGGATTTGTGATCTTAGTAAATAACCTTGACTCTACTTTGCTGTCCTACTTCAGCCCCACCTTCCCAGGCTTTGATTCAGCCCGAATCAGAGCCGGAGCAGCTCTTCACTCTAGAATTTTTGGTCAGATATCAGAAAGGTATTTGGTAGAGAGAGCTTAGCTGCCTGTGCCCATGGCTTTATGCTCTGCAGGGGCCTGTGAATACTCAGAGCTGTGCTAGGCCCCGCAGCATCAGGAGAAGGGAGAACTGCACTCTTGTCCAGGAGAGGAGAAAGGTTAAAAGGTTAAGTAGGAGCCACCAAAGGCCAGCAGAAAAGATGGGTAGCCTCAGTGCTGGAGGGCGCTCCTCGGAGTGGAATGGTGGGCCTCCTGGAGGGGAAGCATTTTGCAAGACAGGTAGATTTGGTTGGGAGGTGGGTGAAGGGCATTCTGGCCACATCAGGAGAGAGCTGACCTGTGCCTGGGCCTTACCCCTCCCTCTCTGTCAGATGGCGGCCAAGCACCTGGCTGGGGTCCTGCTGCACTCCCTGAGTGAGGAGTGCTACTGGAGCCCCCTGTCCCAGCCTCTACCCGAGTTCATGAGTAAAGAGGAGAATTCCTTCATCATGCAAGCCCTGCGGAAACCTCACCTCTATGAAGGAGACAAGTAAGCTCTGCTGGCCCTGCTGGCCCATGCCAGTCTCACGCCACACCCCGGGTTTGGTCCCCGCTGGTCACCCCTCTCTGCCCCATGCACTCTAGCTGACACCCAGCTCCCTGTCAGGCAAGCTCTTCAGTGTCAGCAGGAGCCAAGTAGACTAGATGAGACAAGTCTTGAATGGGGGCTGGCAGGAAATTCCCATAGGGCATCCCAAGGCCACACAAATTATTTGGGGGGTACCTGCCTTCCTAAGTGTCTTACTTAATATCCCATCTCTCTTGTTTGTGCCAATAATTGAAGGTGGGGTCTGTGACCACCCAGCAGAGCTCCTGCCCCAGCCTCTTTGCACAGCGCTGGGCACTGGAAGAACCATTTCTTCCCCAGGAGCATTTGCAGTACTTCCAGCGCAGCCGCCCACAACAGCATTTCACATCCATAACCCTGGGGCATGATACAGAGCTGCAGGTGGTATCCAGTGCCCGTGAATTATGCAGGAGAGGGTCACCTTACAGGGCTGGTGCTGACTCCGGGACAGAAGGGCCAGTGTGGCAGGCGTGGTGGGCCAGCAGTGCTGCGTGAGGCTGTGCTGGAGCCACACTGCCTTTTTTGTCTTTCAGCCTCTATTGCCCAAAGGACAACATTGAGGAAGCCCTCCTGCTGCTTCTCATCAGCGAGTCCATGGTAAGCTCCAGGGCCTTCCTCTGCCTCTGTGGGGTACGACTGCTCAGCTCAGGCACAGGCTACCAGTCCTGGCCTCCCAGGGACATCCCTGAAGCAGGATTCTTAGATCTGTCTCCCCACCCCCCCAGGGGTGAGGTGCACAAGGTTGGGTCATGTGCATAAGGCTTAAGGCTACATTTGGGGGCCCGGATCCTGCTCCCAAATGAGTAGGGCCTGAGCTAACAAGTCCCGACCCACGTCTTCTGGGATTATAAGAGATGGTTATCAGCAAGTCAGCTGTCTGCATCTAGCAGCTCTGTGCTGGGTCTGGGACCCACATAAGGGAGTGGGAGGAGCATGTGCTCTCCATGCAGAGGCCCTGGGTTCAGGTTCCAGCTTTGCCGCTTGTTAGCTGAGGGCCCTGGGCGAACCTCCTAACCTCTCTGAGCCTCAGTTTCCTCACCTATTAAATGATAGTAACTCCCAGAGGTTAGTTACAAGGTGCCTGTAAAAGGAACTTTTTTTTTTTTTAATTTTTAAAAATACATCTTTATTGATTTCAGAGAGAGGAAAGGAGAGGGGGAGAGAGAGAGAAACATCAATGATGAGAGAGTCATTGATCGAGCCTGCAACCCCGGGTGTGTGCCCTGACCGGGAATCAAACCCCGATCGCCTGGATCCCAGGTCGATGCTCAACCGCTGAGCCACGCCCGGCCGGGCAGTAAAAAGAATTCATTTGTTCACAAAACTATTTACCCAGTGTCATCTACTTTGTGCCAGGCCACATGCTAGATGCCAGAGTTGTAGCAGCAAACAAAACGGAGAAAAGTCCCTGCCCTCATGGAACTGATGTTCTAGTGAGGGGAAGGACAATACATTAACTATAAAATATCCCAGTTCCAGTGTCTGTGTGTGCCATGGGAAAATAAGGCAATGGGGGAATAAGGCGTGCTGGACAAAGCACATGCGAAGTGCTTTTTAGATTTTTTTTATGAGACCCATTTCCCCTGCCCTGGGCAGGGAGACAGGCACACACACATATGAATATGCGCACACATATGCGAACATGTGTGCACACATGCCTGGGTTTGGAGGCTCAGCGAAGGAGAGAGGTGTGGTTGGGTGGTCCAGGAAGTGGTGAGATGATGGATGCCCTGGTCTGAGGGATGAGGGGGAGGGGTGGGCAGGAGTATCTAGGACCGTGCGATCCCAGGACTGGTTTAGAGAACTTTGGTCAGTGGGTTGCCTTTGGTTCAATAAGTTCTCCAGCAAATAGAAGGAGGGGGCGCTGGACTAGGGGGCGAGAGGTTGTATCCTTCCTCAGCCAAGTCCACTGGGATTTAGAGTTCTGTGAAGGGGCGTGGATATTTGGATCTGAATGCAAACTGGCCAAGGCGTGGTCCTGAAAGGTTTGCAGGATGTGGGCTTGTGAGGGGAGAAGTGGTTGCTCCAGGGAGGAGACATCTAGGTGGTCTGCCTGATGTAAAGGTAGAAATACCAAGTGCCATATCTGATTTTCATTGAAGAACAGTACACTTTTCACAGAAAAAGGACCCTCTGACCACAGACTGAACCCCAGTTTCTAATTATGGAACCTCAGACATAGACCAGTACCCCCTCTCTGCCCCCTACACACACACCTCAGTTATCTCACCACCTACACCCTCAAGTGAGATTGCACTGAAGTCACCTGTCTCAGGAAACACGGGTCATTATTGTCACCTTGTGCTGAGGGTCACAGTGTGGTACACAGGTTGGAGGTCAAAGGTGAAAATGAACATTTCTTAGGTCCTTTCTATGCCAGGTTTCAAGCTGATTATCTCATAGAGGTAGGCATTATATTGAGCCATATGAAAACTAAGAGGTTTACATGGTTCAGTGTAATGCCAATATGGTCCCATCTTACAGATGAGATAAGTAAGGTCCAAACAAATTTGTGTCTTGGTCAAGGTCACACTGTAATAATCCTTGTAACAATGATTTGAGTCACATCTGTTTCCCTAAATAGCTCCAAAGTACAGGCTGGAATCGAGGCTGGGCTCTGTCTCCCCAAGATTTTCCTGTGGCCTCTGCTTGATCTGGGTGCCCAGGACCAGAGTTCAGATGCCTTTTTCCTCCCCAAACTCTCAAGCTGCCCTAAAATAAGGTGCAAAATGCTTTTTGCTGAATAGTGACCCACACTTGGAGCCAAGGTGAATTTTCCTGAGTGTGTAGTTTCCCTCCAAGCAGCTCTTTTCTTTTTTCGAGAGGCTGTGTGGAGCTGGCTTGATCAAGAGACTTGGGGTCCAGGCGTGCAGGGCAGGTGGCGTCCTGGGAATTCCCTGTAACATGTAAAGCAGAGGAAGTGCTTGGATGCCAAGTGCACTGCAGCTGGGAGGAGGCACCTCTCCTAGGGCTGGCTGACTGGCTGGCTGGCTTCCCCTTGATCACACCCAGCCTGTCACACATTTAGAAAGTTCAGCAACTTGGGGGAGAGTTTTGGCAATGGGCTTAGCTTTGTCGTCTCATCTACAGAGGGCTTTCCACCTGGGCTCTGGAGATGGTTGCTGTGGCTCAGAGCTGTTTCTCAGAGTGACCAGACACCTCTGGCTTCTCTCATACTCATTTCACACCCTCCTCCCCTGTAGTCACATTCTCAAGCAGGTGCGGTCGTCACTGTGTAAGCCTCCTAGGCTCCTGCTCTAACCCCTCCGTTAAACTGAGGTTCAGTCTGGCCCCCATGTACCTGCAGGGTTTTCCTCATCTCCTTTTGGTGCTGGCTGGGTTTGCCTGCAGATAATAGGGAGAAACCTGTATAATAGCAGTTGGCTGCTGTGGCTGCTACCTGGGTTCTCCTAATACCTGCAGGATTCATTATACTGCAGTGAAAGCTATTTCAGCTCAGCCAGCCCAGGAGGTATCATTCTAGTTCTCCATCTCCAGGATCCCCAGAGCAGCTGCTCCAGGAAAGGGTGTTTGCACATTTCCTGAGTATAGCAGCCCCTTTTCTGTGGTTTGGAACTCAGAGGAGTAGCCTGCACGGGATCTGGTGTGGGGTTGGTGCATTGGACATGGTTTTGTTATGGGCTGACTGTGATCAGAATGAATGGGCAGTAGGCGCTTGTCTTCCAAGAGGTAAATAGAAATCTTACAACTGCTTCCACAGAAACACAAGGGATATGAGCTATAACTGGTTGAAGACTTGTGTTTTGGATCCAATTTTGAGTCTTTGGGGCCAAAAGACCATTTAATTAAATTAATTATTTATTTTAGTTCTCACCCGAGGATATTTTTTCATTGTTTTTCAGAGAGAGTGGAAGGGAGAGGGAGGGAGAGAAAGAGAAAGAAACATCAATGTGAGGGAGACACATCTATTGTTTGCCTCCCACAGCCTGGGGTTGAGCTTGCAACCGACCGGATGTCCTTGGCCGGAATCAAACGAAGGACCCTTTAGTCCACAGACCGACTTTCTAACCACTGAGCCAAACTGGCTAGAGCTAAAAGATTTTAAAATCCACCCACATCTTGTTGGGTGGATTGTTGAGTGGCGTGCTGGGTTGTGCTCAGCACTGGAGTTACAGTGGTGAACAGTTCAATCACAGCCCCTGTCCTGCAAGTACTCCCACATGATGGAGAGTGTGTCCAGAGACGTAAGAGAAATCCTGGTCCCCAGATCAGAAGGAATTACCCCAATCTGCTGAACCCCAAATGCATAGCCTAGCCTTTGAAAGAATCATGTATCAAAACCAGCTTGATTTTTCTCAAACAGTTGGGGGACCAGGAGGTATGGGAATCTCGCCATTTCTAAAATACTGATCTAGGGCATAAAAATGTGTGTGACAGCAAAGTAAATCCTTGGGTCCCTGTTCATTCAGCCGCTGAAAAAGTCGCTGCTGATGTCAGATTCTTGGGAATTAAAGGCAAAAAATGCCTGGTGGTGAGCGATGGGGGGCGACCTTTACAAACTAAATTTGTGCCATATCCAACATCAGACATTGGCAATTTAAATCTTGACTTTGTCATTTACAACCTATGTGGCCTGAGTAAGTTTCTTACCTTCCTAATTCTCAGTTTTCTCTTCTGTAAAATGGGGCTAAGAAGGCCTCTCTTGCAGGGATTTGAGCGGATTAAGTAAGAAAATGAACACGAAGGCACCTGATACACTGTGGATGTCCAACATGTATCTGTTTTGTCCTGATAAATACTTTGTTCTGACTCAGTCCTTTTAGAAAACATTTAGGCTCAGATCCGGCTGGGATAAAAATTGTTTTCAGAATACCATGTGGTTAAAAAAAAAAAAATACTTTCTGGGCTTGATTCCATGTGGGACTCAGCAGACGAGCACAGATTGTTCCAGCTCTTGGCACCTGGTTTGCTCTCACACGAGGCCCTGCTCTGCTGCGGGCTGCGATGGTAAAGGGTCTGATCACACTGCAGCTCAGAACACTCAGTTCAGTAGAGAGGGAGCCTCTCGCCCTTGCTGGCAGGAAGAGCTGTGATTTCTGCTACAGGAGGCTGATGCAGCGGGAGAGTGGGGGCTGGCATGGGCCTGGCCTCCCCTGGGTCACTCGGTAGATAGGACACATCACAGGGCATGTTATTTCTTGGCTCTGGATGGGCAGCTCGAGAGCTGGTGGTAATTATGTCTTCCAGTGGGGGATGACAGCACAAGTGGAACATGGCAGCGTTCTTCAAGGAGGGGCAGGCACTGGGCACAGATGCTGCCAGGAAACTCCTTTCTAGGACAGTGGCTGTGGGGTGTCAGCAGAAGGCCCTGAGGCTGGGTCCTTGACCAGTGGAGAGGCTGTGTCTGAGAACAGGGCTGAGCGAGATGCTGGCCACATTGCCCAAGGAGCTTGTTCTCTGCAGAGAAGCAGCGTCGGCCTGATTGTGAAGGCCTGGCTGTGGGTTTTGCTTTGGTTTTTCCATAAGCAGAGACATGCCAGACCCTCTGATGGCCAGGACAAGCCTACTGGATGCTTTCTCAGAGGCACCTGGAGGCAGGGAAAGAGCCTGGGAATGAAGCCAAAATATCTAGGTTCTAATCTGAGTCTCAACAACCTATCTGTATGCTTTTGGGTGCCTCCCTGGTCTCTCCAGGCCTCAGTCTTCTCATCTGTAAAATAGGACAATAGTTTGTGAGATTTATGAGATACCACTTACAGAGTGTCCACAGATTAGTTCCCTTTCCTTCTCTTACACTGTTTGTGTCCAGGGTTAGAGAGGAGATACAGGGCTGGTCAGAAGCAAAGGTTATTACTGTTTGAGGCCCTGCAGCCCACAGAACATCAGACCTCGGCTGGCAGAGGAGCGCAGGGTAGCAGAAGCTGCCCTAGTCTGGCCATCAGGTGCTCTGCCTTAACTCCCAGGACCTTCTGGGGCTTAGTTTCCCCATCTGCGAAGGGAACATAGTGGTTTCATTCTGCCTCTCCATGGAGGTCACTGTGAGGCCAGATGAGATGATGGACATGAAAATTCAGCTCCTAAAAGGGTAACGCATGGCACACACATAAGGGATGGCTGCTTGAACAGAAGCTGGCTGCCATGGGTTTCACAGGGGCTGGCCCACATGGGGAAATGGACATTCCCTCGTGGGCCTTCCTGTGAGGCCCGTATTTGCTCCGTGGGTATTTGTCCAGAGACCAGATGTGAGGCGTGGTGGCCGTGATTAGCTGTTGGGTGATGGAAGATGGAGAGAAGCACGTTGCTTTGGCTTTGTCTCCTCTGACCTACTAGGAGGCCTGGGGTGAATGTCCTTTAGTCTGGGGGAGGCCGCCCCTGGGAGTGCAGCCAGAGGCCCAAGACTAGGAGCAGGGACAGCCCTATGAACCTGCCCGGGATTAAGTACCTGGGTTCAACGAGAGTGGGGAATCCCCACAGGCCGGAGGCAAGGGAGTGGGCCTGGGGGTTATGCCAGGGGACGCCGGGGGAGAATATTCTGCCATTATTCCAAGACTAGTAAGGACCATGATCGTGGGAATAAAATTTAGGGTATATATGTTGCTTTAAGGGTCACAGGCTCAAACACATCTGTTACTACATTTGATCTGAAGGATTTCCTGGTGAGGCCATGTAAATGCTGAAAGGAAGAGAGTGTGCCTGGGACTAGTTGAAGGCAGGCTGCTGATGGAGCTGGGAGCCTGCGTGTGGCTTTAAGGGCCCTGAGCCCGGGGGAGGAGGGAGCAGTACAGCCAGGTGCCCAGGGCAGGGACTTGAAGACTTGAAGCCCCCAGGATGTTGGGGGCCTTGCCGCCTGAGGCTTGCTGTGGTCCCCGAGCTGCACCTAAATTCCTACCCCACTGCTCTCCCCAACAGGTTCAGCTTCCTTCTTTCTGCCCCATTTACCCCACCCCGCCCTGTTGCCATGGTTACGTACTTAGGCCAAGCCCAGCAAGCACCCGAGCATTTCACCACAGCCCTGCCCCAAGGCCATAGCAACCGCTAGGCAAACTTCTGCTTTTGGCTTGCCTTTGGGGAACCATGCTTCCCTCTTGGCACAGGCTCCAAGTCCCGAGGACCCCTGAGAAAGTGCCTCCCTTGCTGTCTGCCTCATGGGGAGCCTCTTCCCTGTCCCTCCGCTGAAACGATGCTGCTGCAACCTCTTCTGTTCCTATTCTTATGACCTAATTCCTTCCCGGGGCTAGAAATCCACCCCTCCCTTCCACCAGGCCCACCCTAGAGACACTGCTCTCTTAAAGGTCAAGGTCTAGGGCAGACAGGAGGAAGTTCCCCCCACCAGGTCCAGAAGTCTTTCTCTCTCAAATGTCACTTGTTCTACACACGTGAACCGAGGAAAGTGCTTTGTGAGCCTGTACTGGGGCTGGGAGTTTAGAGACATGCCCCTGCCCCCAGGACTGGTTGTAGTGTGTGCCCACTGTTAGGGGAAGACTAGGGGGTCCATCCTTGCCTGGCGAGATAAGTGCAGATACCTGCTTCGAGTTGTGACAGGCCAGCAGGCACCCAGATTGACAGAGGGAATAGTGACAGGCTGTGGTGAGGATAGGGAGCTGCAGGGGGAGTTCCATGTGGGGACTGGGGAAGACTGGGGAGCTGGGTGGAGTGGAGAAGCTAGACTTTATCCTGGGGCAGTCTAGAGGGGGTTGGGAGTTGGATTCTGGGATGGGCTACTCTTCAAGGACAGACCAACCAGAACCAAAACTTTTGCTGACAGCTTGCTGCTCACCTGCCCCCTGAATGTGACTGGTCAGCATGGGCGAGTCCCCAGATCCTAGATGTGCCCAGCCAGGTTTCTCGCTCTGTCCCACAGAAAAGCCACCTTGCAGGCCACCTGCCCTGCTCCCTCTCCATCAGGACCTCTGTCTCCCACCAGAATTCTAGCTCAGATGCCATTCGGTACCTGCTGCTGGGAGTGGGGACTGTTTCCCATCCTCTCATTCCCTAATACCCGCCACCCCCAACACTGCCTGGTGGAAGCTATCCCCCCGGGCCCTATTGTGGGCAGCCTGAGCTGGGGAGTTGTTGGAGGTGAACGCTGGAGGGGGGAGTGGGGATGAACATGGCCGCACACAGAATAAGTATTGGAGTTTGTGTTCCTACACAGCTCAGTGAAATAGCTCCTGCCAAGCATCTCCTTAAAATTCCTTCTCCCTTCCTGTTGGTGCCTGTGTGGGTGGATTTCACCAGGAAGGAGGGGGTTTCTCTGGCACTTTCCCTCTCCAGTCCTCTCCCTCAACTATGTCGAGTGCCTGACCTGCTCTTGTTTACCGGGCTGGCACAGTGCTCAGCCTTTATGGGCATCTCTTGGCCTCCCATACCCTCTCCTAGGGCCGCTCCATGTCCATGGTGGCAGTGGGCAGCCCTCGCCTATTACAGACCCCTGGCCTGAAATGCCTCCGTGGGCGAGTCACTTCCTTGGGTCTGATAAGCACTGTGGCTTCCAGAGCCTCTGTGGGAATGCAGTTGAAGTCTGCATGGCAGGACATGCAGCCTACATCCAAAGGCCATTGGGCTTCTGCCTCTGTAGCACTTGGGAGCCTCCACCCTGACCTGGAGAAGGGGTAGTGGTCCTGGCTGGAGGGGGTGATGGTGGCGGGGGGAAGGACCATCTGTGACAGGAAGGATTGTCTGGATCTGACCAGCAGGATCTGGCTTTTAAGGGCCAGCAGTTCCCCTTTAGTCTGTCAGGAAGGTCTGAGGTCCTGTGTGGGAAAGTAGAGGAAGGTGAGTCTCAACACACGGAGGAGATTCTGACATTCTACGGAGGGAGGGGGATGCTGGGAAGAGGCCGTTGTGGGCAAAGGGGAGAAGAGGTGGGAGAGGGCAGGATGCTGGGAGCAGCCAGCAGGAGCATCTGGCCAGAACTCAGCTTTGCTTCAGTCCTCAGTGTGTATGTTGGGAGGTGGGGGAGGCGCAGGGGCCCCAGAGCATCCCCAGCCTGGTCCCTACCCTGTTGCTACTCAGCTCAGAAACACTGTAACTTCTGTTTAGCTGTTCCTGAGTGCTGTCCCCAGGGTATGGGTATAAGGGGACCTGGACTGCATGCTATAGGCCACAGAACAAGAGGGTCTGGGATCCCTGATGGTGAGATTTCAGGCTTGGTGACACAGAGCTCCCCCTTCAGACTGTGGCCTTCCCCTCCCTGAGCAGCCACCTGGCAGCTCTGAGCTACTGAACTGAGTGCTGGATGCAGCACAGAGACCTCAAGTTTGGGGGAGACTTTTGGGGGAGGAAGAGAGTTCTATGGTTGGAGGGGGTCAAGGATAGACATGTGGGTAATGGGAAAGAAGTATGGGGGTTCCTTATTAGAGGGACTTGGGAGACCCACAGAGTAAGAGAAGAGTGCACCGAGGGCCCAGGGCCTGAGCTTGCCTCTGGGAGTCAAGCAGCAGAGCCACCCACCTGATCGGGACAATTCCATGTGTTCTCTGAAGCTGTTTCTGTGAGGGAACAATTACAAATACAAGAAGCTCTTCCACAGGACAACTGGTCTATCTCCTCAAAAATGCCAGTGTCCAAAAAGACAGAGGAAGGCCAAGGGGCTTATCCAAGATGAAAGGACACTAAAGAGGACCGTGACCCTGGATTGGACCCTGGAATGAGAAAAAATAAATGACTAGAAAGGTCATCGATGGATGGGTGGCAAATTCAAATATGAACTGGTTTTAGATGGTAGTGACATCAGTGTTATATTCCCCGACTTTGGCGTTTCTGTAGTGGTTATAAAAAGAATGTCTTCTTGTGTTTAGGGGTAAAGGGTCATATTGTCATAACTTACTATCATTGTTTTTATGTAGCAGAGAGAGAAATGGCAAATATGGTGAATGTTCACAATTGGGTTTACTGTTGTACTATTCTTGCAACTTTCCTGTTGGTTTCAGGTTTTTCAGAATAAAACATTGACCGCCCAGAGCTCAAGCCTTGAGAACTGCTCCCTCACCCCAGCCTGGGCTGAGAGCGGAGTGTCTCCTCTCTTTGGAGAGGGCCTTGGTGGGGGTGAGGAAGGATCTACCTGTTTCTGGGAGTATGGCCCCCTCCCTGGCCTGGGTCTCGGCCTGGGAGGCAGGGGCTCTGTGGGTACAGGCACCTGTGTATTATCTGTCCTCACTCTTTCCCAACCCATGCCCCTCTGCAGGCTACTCGGGATGTGGTGTTGAGCCGGACGCCGGAGCAGGAGGAGGACCGGGCGGTGAGCCTGCGGAATGCAGCAGCCATTTACGACCTCCTGAGCATCACGCTGGGCAGGCGGGGCCAGTACGTCATGCTCTCTGAGGTACGAGGCACCCCGGCCCGGCCCGCCCAGAGTCGCGTGGTACTCAGAGGAAACCAGGGGGAGCCCCCAGTGGTCCTCCCCCATGTCCCTTCCCCGCCGCCACCAAGGGGTGCAGCTCTGTTCTTGGGAGGCCAGGCTTGGGACTGTGCCTTTCCAATGCCAAGAGAGCTGCCCTTCACTGGCAGTGTTTTTGCTTTTACTAATGTTATTTTTGCGGTTTTCTTTTGAAATTAACACACGTCATTGTATAGAAAGGCACAAGAAGAAAATTATGTACCCTCAGTTTCCCCCAGAAATGACACTGGTGGGTTTCTTTTTGTTGTTCAAGGATATATTTATTGATTTTAGAGAGAGGAAGAGAAACATTGATGTGAGAGAGAAACACTGACCAGTGGCCTCCTGTACACGCCCTGACCAGGGATCAAACCGCAACCTGTGTGCCCTGACTGGGAATTGAACCTGCACCTTTCAGTGTATGGGACGACACTCCAACCAGCTGAGCCACACTGACCAGGGTGACACATGTTTTGTGACTTCCTCTCCTGGCAGAGATCTGACCCCCCCCCC